GATGAAAAGAAATACAAAAATGATTAAACAATATGTAGTAACAAAAAAATTGCTAACTTTAATTTTTTATTGCTTATCATCCCTAAATTTTTGTCTTGCGTACAAAAAATTTAGGGATGGCCATTATTCAGAAACGAGAAAATAGATAGAAGAAGTAAACAGAAAAAAATGGTAATGGCTACATTTCACTCAATAGATTATTTTAAAAATCGGCATATGTATTTCATGTAAAAATTACGAAACTACCAAAAAATGAAGAAAAATAAATAAATCCAAGACAGAAAAAAGTTCATTATATCCAATTTCCTATCTTCTTTTGGTTTACTATATCCCCCAAAAATAATATTACATGTGTATATCAAGGCACGGGAGCGAACATTTCGTTCACTATATCCGGGAGTTTACTATAAGCCATGTTCACTATAGATGGGTTTGACAGTATATTTGCTTAAAGTTAAACTTCGATATAATCTCCCCATATATTAAAGGAAATATTGTGGTCTTAACACAGAGAATCGAACTTCCGTTCATCCAGATTATCCCTCTCGGCTCAATCATTTTCCCAGTTGTAACAAAATAAGTGGCTTTGAAAGATGTTAGCTTAAAAGAAGACGAAAATGAGAAGAAAACTTAGGACAAGCGACATAACTATTTTATTTTTAAAACAATAAAAAAAAAAAAANAAAAAAAAAAAAAAAAAAAAAAAAGGTGGAACATAGCAATTTTAACGTAATTTAAATATTTTACAAAACACCCAAAATATTTTTAGAAATTTTTCTAAAAATCCTTCTAGACCTACTCAGTCGCTTAAATATTATACATCAGCAAAGTTTTGGAAATTTTAGTACTCCTTTGTCAACAAAAATAAGCAAATCGCAAACTCCTTTCACACGGAGAAAAATATAAAATTTCAGTACGACTTACTGTAAATTTTACCATATTCTGGTAGTTTTGGCCATATTTTTTGTTTCCTCAGTGCGTTCTTACATCAGAAAAATGCTAACTCCCCCCCCCCTGTTTTTCTTGAATCAGACTTTTAATATAGGAATTTTGTTTCAGGATTAAATTCAAATAAAAATAGGTAACTTAACATTAAACAAAGATAGCTTTTTTAATATTCAGTAGAATATTTTCTTTAACATTTCTTCATTTTTCATAATTTTCATGTTTTTATTTAGTAGAATATTTTCTTTAACGTTACATCATTTTTCATCATTTTCATTAACTTTTCCTTAAATCTGACTTTTACTATAGGAATTTAGTTTTAGGATTAAATTCAAATAAAAATATGTAACTTAACATTAAACACAGATAGCTGCTTTAATGTTAAGTAAAGTATTCTTCAAAAATCTTTTTCCTTTTATATATTCAAAACACTTAAACTCTAAAATTTGTTTTCTAATTTTTTCCCCTTAGTTCAACTTTTATTCCACATTTGAAATTTTTCCTCGTGTAATTTTTTGATAAATTTAATTTGCTCCCCGTTAAGTAACCCCTCCCCCCGTTAGGTGCCCACGTAATATTTTAGCATTAGCAATAATAAATAGGACCTTTTTAGATAATATGGCGCTCATTGTTTCATATGAAACCATATTCTCTTGAATATTACAGTTTAAAAAAGGATTCACAAATTTTACTCCAGTTAGTTCCAATTTTACTTTATTTTTTAACCGCCGTTGAACAGCAGATCCAAATTTGAGTTTACAACTACCAATGTTCAACTTTGTAGCCTTGTAATTTTAAACCCGATCCAAAAGACAAGGGAACTTCTGGATCAAGAATTGGGAGAAATTCACCTTCATGGTAAACTTTTTGATGGAGCTAACCCGCAAATCAGCAATTACGTTGCATGGATATGAAAAACTATGAAAACATTCTACGGTTAGCCTGATGGCAAGGGGACTCTAACCCATGATCCGTCGGCACTGTGGTCGGTGCGAACCGGATGTGGTATCCACCAGCCATCGCTGAGAACCGGGCTCACCTCATTGGGAGACGAGATCTGCTGAGCCACCATGGCTCAGTTAGGTCCAATTACACATACGCTATGTGTGAAAGATTAACAAAAATGAAGAAAGAACAAAACAAAAAAATTATGAATGACTTTTTATCTCACTTCCTTTTTTTGCATAGTGAAACTTATTATATAATTAAAGGAAAATTAATTCAACATAAAATGCACTGCATAAATAAATAAAACAAGTGCTTAGAGAACTAAAAGAACTATCACTGTTCCCCTTTCCTTTTATAAGCAATAGCTTTCCTCTGTTTAAAATGTCAACAGAACCATCTCTTTGTTGGCTATCTACTCATAAATTGTCTCAAATAGATATTTATTTAGAATTTCTAGGAAGACAGATGTATTAAGCTCTTAGAGATACAAGTAAGAGGAGACTCTTGTTGATATTTTCTATTCTTTTGTAAAGAGACTTTATCAGGTAATAATCATTCTAAATCTTCTCTCTCATAGTTCTATTCCACCATCATTTAAATCAGTAATCACCAGTTCAAAATTTTGATAAATATGAATATTCTGTTTACTTTTATTTTGTTTAATTAATTGTTTTAACTTAAATTATTAGTTTTTTATCAGTTTGACAATTTATTCGAAATAATTTTTATTTATTAAAGAACTCCAATTCTTAAAGAAGATTATCTTTAGATAACACGAACTCATTATATAAATACATTTCGAGAGAGGTGAGCAAATGTTTGTATTAAATCACTTAATAAATTTATAATTTTATGTTTATGCACTGTAAGAGTCGTTAGATGTTTTCTTCATCTTTGTCAGCGCAACAACCCCTTGTAGGCCTTTGCTGTCTCAACTGCAGGCGCCTCCTATCCAATGCAACTCCCTTCCAATTTTCAAATAATTTTCGATGTCGTTGAGCCATCTAGTAGGGGGTCTGCCTCAGGGTCCTTAAAGGTGACGCTTCTCATGGCGTTATTTTCAGAGCTTCTCCATAGATGGCCCAGCCATTTCAGCCTATTACTCTGGATAGTTTGTGAAATTTGGGGCTGCTTATAGAGTCGGTAGAGCTCGAAATTATATCTGGTTGCATGATTGAATTTGGTTGTGCATGAATTTATTTTTAGCTTACGGATTTTGTTCTTATTTTATACTTATGAAATCAACGTAACTTTTAAATTTTTAAAATTAGAAATCTAAACTTTGAATTTTTATGACTTTTTAACAATCTTGTTTTCATTTATCAATTGAATGTCACGTTTAGTTTTATAATAAAAATTCACATATAATTTTATAAACAAATTTATATAAATATTGATTATTTTTAACCTAATACGAAAAATTAACATCAATTTACATTTCATTTTAATTAATTAAAAGGACGAAGAGATATTTTAAATGCAAAAGTTTCATTTAAAAAATTTCATATAATTTTATTATGCTCAGTAATAAAAACTGTAATAAAAATATATTTTAAAGAATGGGATAATTTGATTAAATTTGGGATAATGAAATTTAAAACTTTAATACCACTTTGTTTTTTCTATAACAATTCACCAGATCAATAATGATCCTGGTCCCGAAATTACTTATTGTTATTTTTAATTGATTTGCAATTTATTTTTTGGAAACAATATTTTAAATTTTCCATAAGTCTCTTACAAATATAATTTTTTTTTAATAAAAAGTTTCAAATGCGTCTTTGTAAACTTTTATTGTAGAAATGGTGTATTTACTTCTTTTATCAATGATTGAAAGGGAATATTATCGAAATCTGCGGATTAATATAAACATTTTAGAAGTGAAGAATTTAAGAGTTAAATTCTTATTCATTCAATTTGTAACGTTAAAATAGATTTAACAATTAAAATACTATACTACAAAATCCATTATTATTTTATATTAACATTCTAATGTCGTCAATTTTTCATTCAAAGTGCTATTTTCGCAAATACAGTAATATATTTAAATGAAAAGATAAATAGCGTAATATTTTAATTTAATACTTTCTAACAATAAATTTTCTTAAAAATATTTTTTATAAAAACTTTTCATAAAATTTAATTATTGTTTCTATTTTTATACATAATTTTAAAATTGGTGTAGGAAAATCAAAAATAATAATCTTATTTTATGAAAATAGTTTTAGAGAAAAATAATTAATCTACCTTCCTTTTTGTATGTATTTAATAATGAGTTTTAATTAAATAATATTTCTTTTAAAAGCATAATTTGACTCACATTTGGCTTACAGGAATAAAAAAACATTTTAAATTTCCTGAAATATTAAATCATCCTAAAAACAAATAATAACTGAGAGTAAAATGGTTGAAAAGAAAGTGACAAACAATAACTTCCTCTTCAAAATATTTCAGAAACACATCAGCTGTAGATCACTTTAAAATCGATAATTCCTGATTTCAACAACAGGTGTTATTTCCTTTCAAGACCGGAGTCGGAGTTAACTCCTTACGAGTCAATATAAAACTTAGTCAGAATCTCCAACAGATGGAGCCACAGTTGTAATTTATCACTTTTTTCAACAAAATCATATTAACTCAATCGGGGATCAAGAGAAAAAAAAATATTATGCTTTCTTGCTATTAAAATAATATATAAATATTGTAAACCTTTACAGCTTAAAAGAGGTGTACTCTTTATGAAATACTAACATTTTTCTTAACAAATAGGTAAAAAAGGATATGTTATAAACTAGGTTTTGAAAAATAAACACATTTAGCAGCTTTTATATTATCAAAACATGCTATGCAATGGAATGTTTATACTAAATGTATTGTCATATTATTTGAATATAAATTTTTAATGCCGCTTCATTGCTTCCTTTCTTCAACAAAGTCTTATTTTAATTTAAAATTGTATTACACTACATTAATTTCTTTTATTTATTTATTAATACTTCGCTACATTTAAAAAACCGGGTTGAGAAAAAGGGAAGTAAACATTTTCAACGACCATGAACTTGTCGCTGTTGTTCCATCAACCCAGTTGGCAGGGGAATTGGCTGGCTGTTTAGATAACCGGCTTCACCCCCGACAGTTGATGGGCTATTCTCTTGTGTTTTCATTCTTCGAAAAGCAGCGAGAACGCAATTCTTCGAATTAAGCTTTCTTCGAATTTTAGACTCCACGATTCTTCAAATTGTTTACGAAATGAATCTAGATTCCCTGGAACCGACCCTAACTAATGATTAAAGCTGGTTCAGATGTAACGATCATGTCGTGAATCGTTTTGTCTATCGAAATCCTGGAAAAATGTATAGGAAAACAGGAGGTAAACGAATTCGCAGAAAACATGAAAGAAAGTTCCGGGACATGTTCTGGGATTGAAAAGTGAGTCAGCAGTATCGAATGAAAATATTCCATTCTACCTTCCAGGTATTTCAATGTTTGTTTTGGTTCCTTTCGAATAGCACCGATGCTTATATTCATTCGTTGCTTAGTACCCCTTTCTGGAATTTCCTTTTTCTTTGATTCTGTAAATTCAATCTCTAATCATTGATGTTTTCATCAGAAATTTATATAACTGATCGAAATTTACCATCTAAGAGAGATGGATATCTTAGAGTGAATTCTTGAAGCCTGATTGGTTTATTTACATCAGTGGGGGTGAAATCCGCATGATTATGTAACCTACCCGGAACACACTCACAGCTGACTGTTTGTATACATTTTCGATCATGGCTTTGTGGAGATCAGAGACTATAAATTGGGACTGGTTTGACCATCTTTATATTTGAAACGGGGAGTTCTTCTTGAAACATGGAAGGTCTCGCAGCTGTGATGGTTAGATTCCCTCAGCTGCAGTGTTGACATTCTATCAGCTGGTGAAAAATGTTGATCTCTTGGCCTGTGCTCTTTATTCCCTTCGTATTTTTAACATTCTGCGCTGCAATATGTATGAGTATGAAGCAAGGTAATTATTCTTTTATCTATTTATTGCAATTTTTTTACAATAAAATAAAAAAAAGTACAAACTATTTTTTTAAGTACAAAACAAGATTGGTATTAAAACGATATTTAAAAATTATCAAAATTATTTTTGAATTAAAAAAAAGGATTGCGCTTTTCATAAAATTTGTATTCTTAACTTCTTACTATGTAGTATGTATGAGCATGAATCAAGTTATTTATTCTTTTATCTATTTAAATTTTTTTTACAATAAAATAAAAACTTGAAAAAAAATTTTTAAACTATTTTTATTTTAGATTGGTATTAAACAAGATTGGTATTAAACAAGATTGGTATTAAAGCGATATTTACGAGGATCAAAATTATTTTTGAAATAAAAAAAAAAGGATTGTGCATTTTATATTATTTGCTTTTTATAATTTTTTACACTGCAGTATGTATAAGTATGAATCAAGGTATTTATTATTTTATCTATTATAAATTTTTTGCAATAAAATAAAAACTAAGCAAATATTTTTAAACTAAAATTTTTTGAATTAAAAAACAAGATTCATATTAAAACGACATTTAAGAAGAACAAAATTATTTTTGAATTGAAAAATGTTAATGGATTGTGCTTTTATTCTATTTATATTCTTAACTTCTTGCGCTGTAGTATGTATGAGTAAGAAGCAAGGTAGCTATTATTTTAACAATATATTTAAAATTTTTAGCATAAAAATAGATCTTTACAAATATTTTAAAATTAAAATTTTCTGAAGAATGAAACAACATTGATTTATGAGGATCAAATAAATTTTTTTAATGAATAATATTTATGTATTGTGCTCTTTATTTTTATTCTTAACTTCTTGCACTGCATTATGTAAGAGCAAGAAGCAAGGTTACTATTTTTTATCAATATATTTAATATTCTTTTGAATTGCAAAATAAATGTTATTTATGAGGATTAAAAATATTTTTAAAATTAATTATATTTATGGATTGTGTTGTTTATTCTCTTTGTATCTTTAACTTCTCTTGCTGCAGTATGTATGAGTAAGAAGCAAAGTAATTATTCTTTAATCTAATTTAAAATTTTTAACAGTAAAATAAAAACTTTAAAGATATTTTTAAACTAAAATACTTTTGAAATAAAAAACAAGATTGATATTTAAATGATATTTATGAGGATCTAAAATATTTTTTAAATGAATAATAATCATTGATTGTGTTCTTTATTCTATTTAATTCTTAACTTCTCGCGCTGCCGTATGTATGAGTAAGAAGAAAATTATTCTTTTATCTATATATTTAAAAAATTTAACAATAAAATAAAAACTTAAAAAATATTTTAAACTCAAATTTTTTTTGAAGTTAAAAGAATCAAAATTGAAGATCAAAATTATTTTTGAAATGTAAACATGTAATGGATTGTGCTTTTCATTTCTTTCCTATTTTTAACTTCTTACTCTACAATATGTATATGAGTAAAAAACAAAATAATTATTCTTTAATCTATATTTTTCATATTTTTAACTATAAATGTAAAATTTAGAAAATATTTTCTAAATTGAATTTTTGTTGAAGTTTAGAGCAAGTTTAAAATTAAAGAAAAAATATTTATAAGGATCAGAAATATTTTTAAAATTATAAATATTTATAAAGATTGTATTACATTTTTTTCAATTCTCTATTTTTGTAATCTTTTTTATTCTTATTTATTAATTTTTCTATTATTCTTAGGAAATCAGATAAAGTTTTTGATTTATGAATAGAAATATTTTTCTTAAAATTTAAAATAATCTTTTAATTAAATTTGACAATTAAATTCGATTTTTAAGTAAGTATTAAATATCCAGTTTTATTCTTTCAATCGTTATTGTGCAGCTTTTTAAAATTCTTTAGTTACAAGCCTATACGAAAAAAAGTCATACATAAAATTTTAAATAAAAAACTTTCTTTTGGGAAGAAAAGGATATTAATTAATTTAGCGATGACAAAAAACATTGTTACGAAAAACATTGTTCCATTATTTGATAAGGGGAGAAAATATTATTAACTTTGAAACACAAAAAACAACAAAAATTTTTTTATCAACATTTTGTTTTTAATTTTTCCTTAAACGAAACTTAATTTTTAATAAAGTGAAAGTTTTTTTCTTCATTTAATTTTTTTATTCGTCTGAAAGTTAATTTTTCTGTATACATTTATCTTTCTTTACATGATGTAGTTTTTCGTGTTTTAATTCTTTTAGACGCATGAAGATTGTCAAAAATACTGTCTAATGCTAAAACAAAAATTGAAATAATAGTGTCGAACAAGGATAAAGTTGTATAAAAAATTATTTAATCATTTTAATTAATTTTCCTACCATGTTCATTGAAAAAACGTATAAAACTTTAGATACAAAAAAGGTGAATACAAAAATAAACTTTATGCAAAATAAGGAATCTAGTTTTAGGAATAAAACTTAATTCTAAAATAAGTTAATATTTCGCTGTTGATTGAAGAAATATTGTGGTAAAATTATGTATGGTTATAACATTTCTACTAAAAGAAAAACACAATACTTGTTAATAAACATTCACTTGCTATTTTTCCCGATCATGTGGTAGGTTCACCGGAAATTCTGGTCATTAAAATTATAATTCTTATTACTTCACATTTTATGAAAAATACAAAACTAAAAAGTAAATTTAACAGAATAAATGCTTTTTATGCCATATTCTAAGGTTATATGATAAAATTACCAAATTTCAATACATTAATAAATTTTATCCCATATTATAAAACCTATTTTGTTAATTTAACTAAAATCGTCTTCAAAGCGGTAAAAATTACCATCCTTTTTGGTGGTCCAGTAGAACCAGAAACACGGTAAATTTTATCCTAATCTTGTAGTTTTGACCATATTTTTTTCCCCCTCTGTGTAATATTTCCATAATTTCCATAAAGTATCCTTTTAAAATGTTTATTTCTGCGTGAAGTTTAGGAAGGATAAAGAATTTGTAAATGTTATATGTATTGAGAATTAAAAATGAAAAAGAATTCTATCATTTTAAGATTAATAAAAATGTTTGAATACTTTCATTAGTGAAACTAGCGTCTAAAAAGACGCACACATAAGGAGTTATTTGGGCAGTTGAACTAAAGCAATTGTCTAGAATAATTTAGTGAAATAATCTAACTTTTTTTCCATTTGATAAATAAATTATTCAGTTTAATAATATTTTTTTTTATCATAATCGTTATTGGCTAAAGTTTGACTTCAATCGCCTATTTCGCCCTTATCTTGACTTTAGAATCTAACGAAATATGCAGTATTTAGTTATTTTAATTAATTCCACATTATAAAATTGTGAAATTGTCCTCGAAAATGTACATATCTTTTTTTTTTTAATAGGGATTCTTAAGCCTTTCGGTAACAGCACATTTCTATGGAAAATTTTAGTCATTCCAGACATAAGCAAATGTGACCTTAGACTGTATTGTGTGCAGAATAAAAAGTGGACAACCCTGAGTAATTTCTGATCTAATGATTTACGTTCTAGGGCTTAAGAGTTCGAGGGGATGATTTAAAATATGCTATTTAATTAATACAAGCGATATTTTAAATTATGAAATCAGACTCAAAAATGTAGTTTCTCTGAATACCCTTTATTCAAATCATTCGGGTTTCTGACTCCCAAAATATAGGGGGTAGCCGCATCTGAGAAATATGGTACCCATAGTTTGGTCAGGAAAGCTGTCCAAAGTTTCGATCCCTTAATTTTAATTTTACGTTTTGCGTATTTCGCCATACCATGAGTATTTCTTAAGCAAATTGAAAATTTTTTTAGCACAGTTATAAAACTTGTTTATCCAAAGATAATTCCATGCAAAAAATAAATTTTAGTAAATATTTATTACTTTTTGTTATTTTATTTAATAACATTCGAAAAAACTGAATTGTAAGGTATGCAATTTTTACAGAATTTAAAAAATTGCGCAAAAAAAAGTTGCCTTCAAAGTATGTAAATTCAAAGGGCGAAAGTTGAGCGAAATCGCTTGCGTAGTTTCTGAGAAAACGAATTTTAGAAAAGTCGTTTGTATAAATTCAATTTCTCAGGAACTATTCAACGGATTTCACTCAAATTTTAGATTTTGCTATGTGAAATTATGTACTGTTGAAAGAAGTCTTACAATTCAAATTTTTTCGACTCTTATTAAATAAAGTAATAAATATTTGCTGAAATGTATTTTTTGCATCGAATTATCTTTAGATATACGAATTTTATAATAGCGTGCAAAAACTTTTAATTTCGCTTATAAAGCTGTCGAGATATTGCGAAATACGCAAAAGATGAAACTAACATAAAGGGTCCATACTTTACTTCCCTCTCCTGACCAAACGATGGGGAGAATATTTCCCAGATTGTGGCTATATTTTAAGAATCAGAAACCCGAATGATTTAAAAAAAGGTATGCTGTTCAGAGAAAGTACGTTTTTGTGTCTGATTTCGTAACTTAAAATATTGTGTGGTCTAAATAATTAGCATATTTGAGGTAACCCCCTCGAGCTACTGAGAATGAGTCTGTAATATTTACTTATTATCTTTCAAGCCTGTGGGTTGCGTTATTCAATAGTGATATCCTGTCCGTTGAAATTTTAATGATTTTCCTTTTTTATATATTTATTAAACAGAACAATAGGAACACTAAACATAAACACAAATAAACATAAAATTTTTCTGATTGTCCATTATACATTCAAATCGGATTTTCCGATTCCACGAGATGTTTATCCCGCCATTTTAAGATTCATTCTGATTGAATTCTCCCTCGGTTAGGGAAGACGCCTAGTAGAAATCCCTTTTGTGGAGATTTAACCTTATTCGTGGCTTGAGTTGCCACATCGTCCTTGAACGTGAAGATCCGATCATTAGATCAAAGGTTATTCTGGGTGGTTCCTTTTTTATTTTGCGCACCGTACATTCTTCTACGGGAAGCGACATCTCTTTAAAGAAAAGTGATTGATTAAT